ATGCCTGTTCTTGCCAGGCCGTGGGTGGCTCACGCCTGTAATTCCAGCACTGGGAGGCTGAGGTGGGCAGATTGCTGGAGTCTAGGAGTTTGAGACCAGCTTTGGCAACACAGCGAACTCCATCTCCAACAATAATAGTAATAATAGCAATAACAATCATAGTGAATACATACCCAGTATGTGGCTTACAATGTGGCACCTGCTGTGTTAAGTGTTTTACTGTATTATTAGGTACCATCACCCGATTTTACAGATGAGGAAACTGAGTCATACAGATTAAGCTATTTGCCTATGGTGACATCACTAATCAAACAGTAGCTCGAGGGCCCACAGGCAGTCTGGCTCTGGAGTTGACACATAGAATCACGCAGCAAACACTTCCTCGAGTGCTTCTTTTATGCCCAGCCCAGTGGTAGGTGGTCCTGGGGACATAGTCATGACAGTGACAGCCTCAGGTCTGCTCTCTTGGGGCTCACAGTCCACTGGGGAAGACAAACAAGTCCCCCACAGTGATGACCCAGAATGGGCAAGGCTGGGGTGGGAGAGCCTAGTGGATCCTTGGCCCACGCTTGGGGGTCAGGGAGGGCTTCCTGGAACAGGCAGCATCTGTCTGGGATGTGAGGCAGCAGCTTTGTTTAGTGGTTGAGGGAAAAGCTTGGTAGTCAAAGATCTGGCTTCTTCTCTCCATCAACCACTTTCCAGCTATTTGACCATTAGCAGGCAACTTCATCTGTCAAGCAAATATTTCCTCCTCTGTAAAACGGGGCTCATGGGAGAACCACTTTGCTGGGTGCTTGTAAGCATTCAAGGAGATTGTATAGGCCAGGTGTGGTGGCTCATGCCTGTAATCCCAGCTCTTTGGGAGGTTGAGGCAGGTAGATCACATGAGGCCAGGAGGTCGAGACCAGCCTGGCCAACATGGCAAAAACCTGTCTCTCCTAAAAATACAAAAATTAGCTCTGCACGGTGGTGCGTGCCTGTAATCCCAGCTACTTGGGAGGCTGAGGCATGAGAATCGCTTGAACCTGGGAGGTGGAGGCTTTAGTGAGCCGAGATCGCACCACTGCACTCCAGCCTGGGCGACAGAGTGAGAGCCTGTCTCAAAAATAAAATAAATAATAAAAAAATAAAAAAATTAGAAATTGAAATCGAGGGGGTTACACACACAAAGTGCCACGTAGACAGTGCTCAGCAAAGTATCGCTCCTTTGATTACAGAATTAGCTGGCGCACTTCTCCAGAAGGAGCCATGGGAGGGTGCTCCAGGCAGGGGAACGGCCTGTGCAAATCTCTTGAGGTGTGACAGCATCAGACCCTTTTAGAGCTGAGGATCAGAGGTGCCAGTTCCTGCCAACTTCTCCTAGGAGTCACTCCTGAACAAGGCAGATGGAGTAAGGCTGAGGGGTTAGGCATTATTTCACCCTCTATCCATCTGGCAGGGACTCCCACATCACCTGAATTAAATTCCAAAGTCCCTACCACAGCCTTAAGGCCCTATATGCTCTTCTCCCACTCTGTAAATAAGATTTGTAAATGAACCAGTGAACGAGACTCCCTGGCTCTGCACCGTCATCGGTCAAATAGGGGAAACCTCATGGCAGTGGGGTGATGATTCAGTGAGAAGCACATGGGAAGGACTCAGCACAGAGCCCAGCACATAGTAGGTGCTCAATTATGGCAGCTCTGGTGATGCTCACTCGAGGGAGACAGATGATGGCACCAAAGGAACTCACAGGAACATCTGGACCGATAGAAATAAAGCCCGATCCCCACGAGGGTCAGAAGAATCACGATTCCCAGAATCAGGAAGATGATGATGTTACTGGACATGCCTGAGTGCTCACTGGGAGGTCCCTCTGAAAGACAAGGAAACAGGTATTTAGGTAAGAAAACTCTTGGGGTTTATCCCTCATTCTTGAAATGGCATCTCAAATTTCCTTGGGGAGCCGCCACTCCACCTGCCTCAGTCTAGTTAATTCAGGTGGACTGGATCCCAACCTCTGGTTCCTAGAATGGGACTTTGACACAGGCCTGGCCAATCAGAACATTCCATTCTCCCTGGCTGCTATGATTGGTTCATAGGTGGGCTGTGGCCTAAGCTGGGCCAATGAGAGCCAGCCCTGGGACTTTGGCTACAGTTATTGAAAGTGGTGTGTTTTTTTCTCCTGCGGTTGCTATTGTGGTAGGATGTAAGCCTGTCGCTGCTGAGGGCCATCTTGCTTCAAAGGCTGCCTGAGAATAAAGCCAGTATAACAAAAAGCAGAGACAAGGGATGTATAAAATAAAAGTTCCTAGGTTACATGGTTGGAGCCCCTGGATCTAACCATAAACTGAAGGTGAATTTTCAATAAAGTCCTGTGTTGTTTTTTTGTTTAGACTACTTTGTGTTTCTGTCAATTGCAATTGATAGAGGTCTGCCTAATACATTTGGAAAGGCCTGAGTCCCTGAGAGAGAGGAATTCCACATCTATCCCAACCTGTGTGTGTGGAGGGAGTGTATTCAGGCAGCTGAACAACGGTACCAGTGGTATAGGTATGGAGTTAACAGGGGAGTACAACTGGCCCCACTGGTCCTTTTGTGAGAAAGCTTAGGAGAAGGATGGGAGCCAGAGAGCACTGGAGAGGGAACCCTGCCTCGACCTCTTCCTTAGCACTGGAGAGGGAACCCTGCCTCGACCTCTTCCTTTGGTCCCTGTTCTCCCTACTCAGGGAGTTCCTCACCTTTGACCTGGATGGTCAGTTCTGCCTGGCGAGCTCCTAGGGCATTGGTGACGTTGCAGATGAAAGTTGTGTTGATTGGTTTGTCCACAGGACGGATCAGGAGCTGGGCGCCCTGGGCCACAGCGAAGGGTGGCAGGGGACCCATGGTCCTGGGAGCGACAGAAAGGTGAGGAGGTGGCCTCTGCTGCAGGTCCGGAGTGACAGTGATTGAGCACTCACTGCGTGCCAGGAACCCTCACACCCTCTATGGCATAAGCGGAGAGCAACTCTGGAGGCCCCCCAACTCTTCCCTTCCTCTCATGCCCACACCCAACCCATTAGCCAATCCTGTCGGCCCCGCCTTAAGATCTACCCAGAATCCCACCGCTCCTCAGGGCTTCCAGGGCCACTTCCCTGCTCTGGCGCGGTGCATCCGGGCCCCCAGCAGCCGCCTCCACACTGGGCTCTGTTTCTGCCCTGGCCCCCTCACCTTTTCCCCACATGGCCACCAGAGGTCGCCTGTGAACCCTAAGTCAGTTCCCATCCCTCAGCTCAGTACCCTCTGGCGGCTTAGCCTGGCTCAGAGTTAAACTGAAGTCTTCTCCTGGCACAGGCCCCACATGATCTGGTCCCTGCTACCTCTGCCCATGTTTTCCATTACTTTCTGCTTTGCTCCCGCCTCTGCATCTACAGTGGCCTCCTTGTTGGTCCTCAAACTCTCCAGTTAGGTGTCCAGTGTGTTTGCTTATGTAGGATGGATAGAAATGGGTTTGCCCATGCCGTTCCCTCTGCCCGAATGCTTTCCCCCCAGGTACCCGCGGAGCTCACCCTCATCTCCTTCAGGCCTCTGCTGGGATGTCACCTTAGTAACACCTCACTTGGCCACCCTATTTCAACTGCGATGATCACCCTTCCCACCCCCTTCTCTCTCTTCTTATTTTTTTTTTTTTGAGACAGGGTCTTACTCTGTCACCCAGGCTGGAGTACAGTGACGCCATCTTGGCTCACTGCAACCTCCATCTTCTGGGTGCACAGAATCTCCCCACCTCAGCCTCCTGAGTAGCTGGGACTACAGGTGCGTGCCACCACACCCGGCCAATTTTTGTATGTTTTTTGGTAGAGATGGGGTTTTGCCATGTTGGCCAGGCTGGTCTCAAACTCCTAGCCTCGAACTCCTAGCCTCAAGTGATCCTCCCATCTCTGCCTCCGAAACTGCTGGGATTACAGGCATGAGCCATGGCACCCAGTCCCATTCCCTTCTCTGCTTTATCTTTTCCACGGTATTTATCACCATTGCGCACACACTACACACCTCATGACTTTATCTTGCTACTTGTTTCTTTCACCATTAGAATGGAAGCTCCATATGGGGAAGAAATTTGGTCTGTTTTATTGACCTGCGTACGTCGGTTAGTTGCACCTGGCTTACTTACTACAGTAAGCAGTCAAGAAATACTGGTTTAATGAACAGAGGTGGAGGAGATGGAAGCATCGGGCTTTGGGCACTCTGCAGAGCTGGGATGCAAACGCAGCCATCCGGATCAAGAGCCTGAATTGTGGCACTTTGAGGCAGGACAGTAAAGGCACCATTACACCAATCAAAACCTTTGACTAGCAATTCCTTCCACTGACAACTGCTGACAAGTGACCACTGGGGATGGTTACCACCATGGCGTTTGCAGAGTAGAAAATGGAAAATGACATCTGTGTCCTCTACTGGGGACTGGTTAAATAACTGATGTCATCCACATATGTTGGAATCCCTTCCCTGCCCTTTGGGAGGCCCAGGCGAGAGGATTGCTTGAGTACAGGAGAGTTCAAGACCAGCCTGGGCAACATAGTGAGATCCTGTCTCTATTCTTAAAATTGTGTTTTTGTTTTTGTTTTTAAAGTGATGGAATCCCAGCAACATTTAAAAAGGGGCCAGGTTAGCCAGGCGTGGTGGTGTGTGCCTGTAGTCCCAGCTATCTGGGAGGCTGAAGCTAGAAGATCACTTGAGCCCAGGAGTTCAAGGCTGCAGTGAGCTGTGATTGTGCCACTGCATTCCAGCCTGAGCAACAGAGTGAGGCCCTGTGTCAAAAAAAAAAAAAAAAAAAGCAGGGGAGCTGGGGGTGCTCTGAAGTGCATAATATGATTGATGGATGAATAGAGGGACTGAAGGAATCACAGAAACATGATAAAGCAAGCACAGTAAAATGTTAGTGGGGGAATCCACGTGGTGGAATCTTAGGTGCTCACTGGAAAATTCCTGACTTTTCGGTATATTTGACAGTCTTCCTAATACAACGCGGGGGAAAATGGAGTGTGGATCTCTGTGCTTTGACATGGAAAGGTATTCACAAGATACAGGAAAAGTTTCAAAATTATATGTATAGCATAATTCCAGTCTTTGTTTAGAAACAGAGAGAAAGAAGACAGAAGGATGTATAATAAGGGGTCACTGGTTATTTCTGGAGGTGGCTGGGTACACTTGACTATAGGTGCTACTTTCTTCTTTTTGCTCATAACTAAATTGTTTGATATTTCTACAGTGGATACAAGTTAGTTTTGTAATAAGAAAAAAGATGTAAGGCTGGGCGAGGTGGCTCACACCTGCAATTCCAGCACTTTGGGAGGCTGAGGTGGGTTGATTGCTTGAGCCCAGGAGTTGGAGACCAGCCTGGGCAATGTGGCGAAACCCTGTCTCTGCAAAAAAATACAACAAAATTAGCTGAGTGTGGTAGTGTGTGCCTGTAGTCCCAGCTACTCAGGAGGCTGAGGCGGAAGGATCACCTGAGCCCAGGGAGGTCCAGGCTGCAGTGAGCTATGATCACACTGCTGCACTCCAGCCTCGGCGACAGAGTCCCTTCTTAAAAAAAAAAAGGTGGTTCAGTAAAATTATGTAAATTATGTAAAATTATGTATTATAAAATTTTGTATTATCCCTTTGCCTTTATCTTACCCTGCTCTTGACCCCAGCTTCAATATGAATCTGGGGAAATCTTATTGCTGTGAGCCTCAACTTTCTCATCTAGACAATGGGGATAGTACTTGCTCCGTCCAGAGATAACCAAGTAGGTTACACAAGGTGACGGTGAGGTGGTTACAGTCTAGCGTGGGGGTGTCCAATCTTTTGGCTTCCCTGGGCCACACTGGAAGAAGAAGAACTGTCTTGGGCCATACATAAAATACACTAACACTAATGATAGCTGATGAGCTAAAAAAAAATTGCAAAAAAAAAAATCTCATAATGTTTTAAGAAAGTTTAGAAATTATGCGGCCTGCAGGTTAGACAAGCTTGGCCAAGAGGCGGAGGACCAGCTTTGGAGCCAGGGCTGATTCAAGGGCCGCTTCTGCCCTCTCGTGGCTGGTCTTTAACCTGGGCATGACAACAGCTGCTGACTCTGCACAGCATGGGGTCACGTGGGATTCGGGGGAAGTACCGGGCACAGAGCAGGCACAGCCCAAGAGCAGGTGCATCCACCAGCCAGGATTAAACCACCTGCTAAATGCCTCAACTGCAAAACAGAGATGCCCCCCACTGGGCATCTCTTCCCTCCTCTTTTTTTCTTTTCTGAATCCCCCTGCTCTCTTAGACCAGGATTCCAGGCCCCCAGCCTCTCCTCCCTCAGACCCAGGAGTCCAGGCCCCCAGCCGCTCCTCCCTCAGACCCACAAATCCACACCCCCAGCCCCTCCTCCCTGAGACCCAGGACTCACGTGCTCCAGTTGTAGCCTGTGGGCTCTGGGTTGCTGCGAGCGTCGCAGGTCAGGGTGGCCTCATTCTGGCTGAGGTACCAGTTGTTATCATAGCCAGAGATGGATACCTCTGGGGGGTCTGCAGGAAATGGACACAGAGGTTCAGAGACAGGGAGACTTTGGGGAGCCGAGGGCTACGTGGGATTCACATCACTGCAGGAAAAGGCCTGGGGATATTTGGAAAACAGTGGGAGCTGGAGAGGCCTAGGAGGAGTCTAGGGAGATGGGGTGCCGCAGAGAGCAGAAGCCTGGGAGTCTGTGGTCACTGGGCACATGGAGAGGGCTTCTGAGGACCTGCTTTTCTCCACTAGCTTTCCTGGGTGGCCCGGACCAGGCATGTCTTGGGTGTCCTGCGGGAAAAGGCCTCCTCCTTTTCTCACTCATAGGCAATGACCACTCATAACACACGGCAGTGTATTCAAGGCTCCGACAAGTCCTGCGGGAAAGAGTCCTGGATAACCCTGCTCTAGGCTGCTGCTCAGCCATCCCAGATGTGATTGACAGTGAGGGCCTTTCGATGTCCTCAGGGGACAGGCCCCAATGGGACAGGGTTTTTTGGGGGGTGAGGGGTAGGAGTCAGTGTAGATCTCCTCCTCGCTCAGACCCAGTGACAGTGTTGAGGGACTCCAGGATAGACAGTACCTGAGGAAATCTGTGTACCACTTGCCTGGCGGGGGAGTAGGCAGTATAGACAACGATGGGAGGAACAGTATGAATGATGCCTAGAAGAGCTTGTGTGGATATTACTGATGGGCTCAGTGTAGACAGGGTGTTGGAATATTACAGTAGATGCTATATTGTCAGGCCAGTGTTGAAATGTTGTGGTGGGGGTGAGATCACCCCCACATATAGAGTGTGTCCCCGGGAGCTGGTGAAATTAAGACAGGCCCTGTGTGTGTATGTGTAGACAGTATTTGGATGAGCCAGTGTAGACGATGTGGGAGCTTAGTCTAGCTGTCGAATGTGGCACTTACTGGCCACATGTGACTACTGAGCACCCGAAATATAGCCAGGCCAAAATACACACCAAATTTCAAAGGCTTTACTAGGGCAAAATAAATGGGAAAGATCTCAAGAATAATTAAAAAAAATTACAAGTTGAAATAATATTTTGGGTATATTGGGGTACGTAAAGGCAATTATGAAAATTAACTTTGGCCAGGCACAGTGGCTCATGCCTGTAATTCCAGTACCTTGGAGGGTTGAAGGAGGAGGATCACTTGAGCCCAGGAGTTCGAGACAAGCCTGGGCAACATAGGGATATCCTGTCCCTACAAAAAAATTTAAAAAGGCCAGGTGTGGTGGCTCACATCTGTAATCCCAGCACTTTGGGAGGCCAAGGTATGGGGATCATGAGGTCAGGAGTTTGAGACCAGCCTGGCCAACATGGAGAAACCCCGTCTCTACTACAAATCCAAAAATTAGCCAGGCACTGTAGCCAGGGCCTGTAATCCCAGCTACTCGGGAGGCTGAGGCAGGAGAATCACTTGAACCTGAGAGGCGGAGGCTGCAGTGAGCTGATATCGCGCCACTGCACTCTAGCATGGGTGACAGAGCAAGACTCCATCACACACACACACACACAAAATTAGCTGGGCATGGTGTCACACGCCTGTAGTCCCAGCTACTCAGGAGACTGAGGCTGAAGTGGGAGGATCACTTAAGCCCAGGAGGTTGAGGCTGCAGTGAGCTGTGCCACCGCACTCCAGTCTGGGTGACAGAGTAAGACCCCGTTTCAAATAAATAAATAGATAAATAAAGAAACAAATAAATTTCATCTTTTTTTTTCTTTTTTTGTTTTTGAGATGGAGTCTTGCTCTGTTGCCCAGGCTGGAGTGCAATGGCACGATCTCGCTCACTGCAACCTCTGCCTCCCAGGTTCAAGTGATTCTGCTGCCTCAGCCTGGCTAGTAGCTGGGATCACAGACACTCGTCACCATGCCTGGCTAATTTTTGCATTTTTTAGTAAAGACGGAGTTTTACCACATTGGTCAGGCTGCTCTTGAATGCCCGACCTCAGGTGAGCCACCTGCCTCAGCCTCCCATAGTGTTGGCATGAGCCACCGTGCCTGGCCTCTTTCTTTTAATTTTTTTAATGGGGTGGCTGCTGGAGAATTTAAAATCCTATATGCAGCTTGCGTGCTATTTCTGTTAGACAGCACTGGTTAAAGAGTCCCTGGGGCTGTCGGTGGAGATAAACGTGTGGGTGTCAATGTCGATGACACTGTGAGGGAGCTGCTGGAGGTAACGCTGTGCAGGAGAACCAGGACAGATGCTGTCAGGGGCCGTGCAGACAGAACACAAGGAGGCCAGTGTGGTGATGTGGGGCGAGACTCAACAGCCTGTAAGTGAGCCAGTGTAGACAACACTGGGCAGAGGAGCATGGAGACTACACTGGGGGACTCTGCAGACACTGCTGAGGGGAGCCAGCACAAACAACGTGGGAAGATCAATACAGCCAGCACCCGGCAGAGATGGTCGATCGTGGCTCAGGGGAACTGGTCGATACAATGTGGGAGGTGAATGCAGACAGTTCTCCAGGGAGTCAGTGTAGACAGTGTCGAGGGGCACTTTAGAGAGTCCTAGGAGACCAGTGGTAGAAAAAAGTGGGGTGTTTATGTAGACAGTGGGGTCACAGAGCCGAGTGTAGGACCCCATGCTGAGACGTGAAACACCCCACAGCTGGAATGGCCGGAAATAGGCTGTGTGTAGACAGATGGGGATAGTGCTGTCTGTGGCCCAGAAGAGCCAATGTAGACAATGGTAAGGCAGTGTAGAAAAATGGCACAAGAGGCCAGGCTGCAGTGGCTCACGGCGTGTAATCTGCAGCACTGTCTGGGAACTGGGGCCGGGGAGCATCACTTGAGCCTTAGGAGGTTTGGAGACCAGCCTGGGCCACAGTAGCAAACAACTCTCTCTGTTTACAAAAATTGTAAAAAATTAGCTGGCATGGGCAACCTGGAGTTCCAGACTTGGAGGCTGAGCGGGGAAAGGATCACCTGGAGCCTGGAAGGTTGGAGGCTGTAGGAGCCCAGCGGCCACCCACGACGCCAGCCTGGGGGTGAGCAGAGTGAGACCCTGCCAAAGGAAAAAAAAAAAAGCCGGGCCATGGTGGGCCCTCGGATGGCCTGTAATTCCAGGCAACACTTTTGGAGAGGCCGAGGGCAGGCCCAGATCACCCTGAGGTCAGGAGTTTGAGAACGAGGCGCTGGCCAACATGTGAAAACCGTTGTCTCTCTATTAGAAAATACAAAAGTTCAGACAGGGTGTCTGGTGCCAGTGTACCTGTAATCCCAGCATTTGGGGGCCTGAGGGTTAGGGAGAAGCCAACCTGAACTTGGGGACGGCAGGAGGTTACAGTGAGCGAGACCTGTGCCACTGTAACTCCAGCCCTGGGGTACAGAGTGAGACTTATTTCAAAAAAAAAAAAAAGAAAGAAATGGACAAGGGAGTGGGTGTAGACAAGAAGGGCGGCAGTGCTGATTGTGGCCAGGAGAACCAGTGTAGCAATGTGGGGAAGGTCATTGTGGATAGTTGCCTGGGGAAGCAGGTGTAGGCAGTTTGGGGGCAGTGTAGACTGTGCTCAAGGGAGTCAACAGAGTGTGGGGTATCTGTGCAGACAGTGGCTAGAGGAGCCAGGGCAGACAATCTGGGTACCAGCATTGACTATGGCCCGAGTAAACTGGTGTAGGCAATAGGGACAGTGCTGTTTATGGCCCAGGCGAGCTGGTGCAGACAATGGAGGTGGGTCGTGTAGACAGGAGTCAGGGGAGCCAGTATGCAGATGAAGGAAGCAATGCTACAGTGCCTTGGGGAGCCAGTTGTAGACAGTGGTGGGGGCAGCCCGGGAGGGATCTTGCCGTCACTGACTCGGGCACACTCACAGTAGACGGTGAGGTTCACAGTCAGCAGCTGAGGCTTCTCAAAGCTCTCGTGCTCCACCTTGCAGGTCACACTCTTGCCGTCCACCTGGCTTGAGGGCACCAAAATCCAGAGGCTGGGTGACGTGACTGTGCCAGACAGGAACCCTGGCGCCCTGGCTTGTATTGGCATCATCCGCCCAGGTCTGAGTGCCAGGTGATGTGGGCCGGCGGGCGACCCCCGTGGAGACGCAGCGGCCCACAGGCACGGCTTTCCAGTGAGCTGGACCTTCTGAACCTCAGCTGTGTTCTGGGCTTGGCGGGGAAGAGGAACAAAAG